AATGGGGCCATTTTACAATGCACATCCTTCTTGCCCAATGCTCATTGGTCAGTGCAGGGCTGCTCCTTTTCCACCGATCTTAAGTTGTTGCCTCTTTCATCTTATGATATGATCCTTGGTCTTGATTGGCTGGCCAGTTTTAGCCCAATGCAAGTCCACTGGGCTCAAAAATGGATCTCCATTCCATACGAGGGAGCTACAGCTATCTTGATTGGGGATACTGCAGACCTTCCGGTGGGCTCTGCCATTCAACTCTATTTGGTACAGCCTCCTGAGTCTTCCTAGTCAGTTTCATCGTTGCATCCGGCTGTGTCAGCATTACTGGATGAATATGCTTATCTCTTTGAGCCAGTTTCAGGATTGCCTCCTAGCCGGCACTGTGACCACTCTATTCCTTTGATCTCCGGGGCTCAACCAGTCTTTGTGCGGCCTTACCTATATGCTCCTATTATGAAAACAAAAATTGAGCGACAAGTTAATGACATGCTTCAGCAGGGAATCATTCAGAAGAGTACCAGTTCTTTTGCCTCTCCGGTTATCTTAGTCAAGAAAAAGGATCAGTCCTGGAGGTTTTGTGTCGATTACCGTCAACTGAATGCAATTACAGTCAAAGGCAAATATCCTGTTCCTATCATCCAAGAATTGCTGGATGAGTTGTCCGGGGCAGCCTATTTCACAACATTGGACTTACAGTTCGGCTTCCACCAAATCCGCATGAAATCGGGTGACGAATTCAAAACCGCCTTCCAAACATACTTTGGTCAATTTGAATTTTGGGTTATGTCCTTCGGACTCACAGGAGCCCCGGGTACCTTCAAGATGCCATGAATACCACACTGGCTCCCTGTCTCCGGAAGTTTGTCTTGGTCTTCTTTGACGATATCCTGGTCTATAGCAGAACATGGGAGGAGCACCTCGTGCATGTACGCACTGTGTTTGAGTTGTTGTCTAAGGATCAATGGAAGTTGAAAATGTCCAAATGCTCCTTCGCTCAGACCAAGCTTTCTTATCTCGGCCATGTCATCAGTTAGGCCGGTGTGGGTACTGATCCATCCAAGCTAGAGTCTATTGCCTCTTGGCCAACTCCTGGTTCAGTCAAAGAACTCCGTTCCTTTCTGGGGCTTGCCGGCTATTACCGGCGCTTTGTTCGCCACTTTGGCATCATTTCAAAACCTCTGACCAATCTCCTGAAGAAGCATGCCTTGTTCATTTGGACTCCTGATCATGACCATGCCTTTTAGACATTGAAAACTGCCCTCTGTCAAGCTCCAGTGCTGGCTCTTCCCAATTTTGCCAAGCCTTTCTCCATTGAAACTGATGCATTGGAGTTGGGTGTCGGTGCGGTTCTCATGTAGGATGGTCAGCCCCTAGCATTCCTCAGTAAAGCATTGGGCTCCAAGTCACGTGGCTTATCAACATATGAAAAAAGAATTCATGGCAATCTTGCTTGCTGTACAATTGTGGCGTCCTTACTTGCAGTTTCAGGAGTTTGTGATTCTTACCGATCAGAAAAGCCTGACCCAGCTCACTGATCAGCGGCTGCATACTCACTGGCAACAAAAGGTTTTCTCCAAACTGCTGGGCCTCTAATACCGCATTGTATACCGCTCAGGTTCTGATAATAGGGCAGCGGATGCATTGTCTCATCACCCCTCCCCTCCAGCTGTGTGTGCGGCCGTCACCTCCTTGGTACCCTCCTGGATCTCTGCAGTGCTTGCCAGTTATCGACATGACTCTTTTGCTACTACCATGCTGACCAAGTTATCGGTGGACTCAGCGGCTATACCTCATTATTCCCTTCAGTCTGGCTTACTCCGTTACAAGGGCCGCGTCTGGATTGGCGATGACTCGGCATTCCAACAGCAGCTTATCTCCCAATTTCACTCTAGTTCCTGGGGCGGCCATTCTGGCATACCAGTAACATATATGAGGCTCAAGCAATGTTTTGCATGGAGAGGTATGAAAACTGCAGTCAAGCATTTTGTGCAGTCCTGTGCCATCTGTCAACAGTCCAAGTATGATAGATCCAAATCTCCAGGCCTCTTGCAGCCCTTGCGCGGTTCCTGATTCGGCATGGCAAGTGATATCGATGGATTTCATCGAGGGACTTCCATTATCTCAAACCTTCAACTGTGTGCTGGTAATAGTTGATCTACTGACCAAGTATGGCCATTTCATTCCCCTCCGTCACCTTTTCACTGCTGTCACAGTTGCTAAGTCATTCTTTCAGCATGTTTATCGATTACATGGCCTTCCGAGCTCTATCATTTCGGATCGTGACCGCATCTTTACAAGTCACTTTTGGTCAGAGTTGTTTAAGCTGGCGGATGTCTCCCTTCGCCGCAGCACCGCTTATCACCCCCAATCCGATGGTCAGACGGAGCGGCTTAACCAGTGCCTGGAAACTTATTTGCGGTGCTTTGTCCATGCCTGCCCCAACAAATGGAGTCAGTGGTTGCCATCTGTAGAATTTTGGTATAATTCCTGCTTCCATTCAGCCATCGGTTGCTCACCCTTTGAGGCGCTATATGGATATCCTCCACGTTTCCTGGCTGTTGACATTTCTGCGGTCTCACATCCGGAAGTCATTGGCTGGGCTTCAGAGCGTCAGTGGATGGACCAGCTTCTCCAACATCACCTCAACTGGGCCAAGCACTGGATGAAGAGACAGTCTGATCAACATCGATCAGAGTGCAGTTTTGCAGTGGGTGATCTCGTCTACCTCAAGCTGCAGCCATATGTCCAAACTTCCCTGGCACCTCGCTCCCATCAGAAACTTGCCTTCCGCTTCTTCGGACCATTCCGTATTCTGGCTCGTGTCGGTTCAGTGGCTTATAAGCTTGACTTGCCCGCTCACTCGGCGATTCATCCGGTTTTTCATGTTTCACAACTGAAAAAGGCTGTTGGTGCCAATCATCAAGTAATCCCCATCCTACCGTCTGACTTTGCCATCCACTTGGCTCCAGAACAGGTTCTGCAGACTCGTATGGTCGCCCGTGGTCCTTCTACTATACCTCAGGTACTTGTCAAATGGAACAATCTGCCGTCGGCATTGGCTACCTAGGAAGATTTTGAAGCTGTTCGCCAGGAGTATCCACGCGCCACTGCTTGGGGGCAAGCAGTGTTCCAAGGGGGAGGGGATGTCAGCCACCGTAGCAACACGGCCCAAGATGGAGCGCCCGGAAACCGGCCCAGAGGAAGAAGGCCCAGGAAGCCCAACCCGTGAGTATTCGGCGAGCAATGGGTTTGATCTCTTCGGCGCTTGCATGCGTGATTGAGACAGAGCCTCTGTAGAGATATAGCAGTCGGTGTGAGGAATGGAGGAAATCATCAGACATTTTGTAAACTCTGAACCAGTTTTCCTAAACTAAGAACTCTTCCGCGCTGTCTCTGGTTCCTGCTTCTTCTTCTTCCGATTTCTTCTTCCCAGTTCTTTCCATCTCCTACTCCTGTCGCTCACGCATTCCAACCTTCGACATTGCGTACCTGCAACCGACGATTTTCTCCAGCTTTGAGGTAACTCAAGTACTGAACAGGTCCTCGTCCTCGATCGAGTGTCGTCTGGAGGTTAGAGAACGGCACTCGGTAGGACTGATGTGTGTGGTGGCTTTTGCATTATCTCTTACTTCGCTTGAGGTATCAAATTCAAATCTTGATGAGAAAATCGTTTTTAGTGGACACACTAGCGATGTTCAGTTGGAACCAACACTACGCTGGGTTCCTCTTAGCAGTAGTACACTATTATGCTGTTCACGGTTTCACACAATCTAGCAAGCAGCTTCAGAAGTAAAGAGATACATGATACATCATTTCACTGTTCAACAAGAAAGAACGAGAGAAGGTTTTAAATATCTAGTAAGGCCCCTAAAGAAGTCATTTTCAGAGAAAACAGGAATATGAGAGAACTGAAAACTACTTAATCGATCTTTTTCTATTTCAAGAACATGTCACATGTGCATGTCGGTGTTAAACAATAAATCTGAAGGATGTTTCCATGGTAGGTAAATCGTTCATTTTTTGTTTGTCGGATACGTAATGCTCAGGAGTCAGGGTACAGGTGACAAACTTCGATACCAGTAAATTTCGTTATCGGATACTTTCACGAATAATTTCTTTTGCAGTTTGTTTGGAGGTGTTTGGCACACAGTCATATATTCCTGATTATGGTCCTACTTAGCCGACTAAGTAGGCATTGCTATCAGTATCACTGCTACTTTAGTGTGCATTTGGGTGGTTGTTCTGTCCCTCTAGTCTATGTAGCTAGAGTTTGGAGGAAAAACCGAAGACAGGTGCTGATGGGCTATATATACCTTTCACACAGCCAACTGCTAGTTGTACTTTAGTCTAATGACGACCGACAACTTATATAGTTTATATACTATATGATAATAAGGCCGTCATAGTTACCTTATTTATTTCGGTCCATCATTAGTAGTAGGTAGTAGCTAATAATTGCTTGTCAAAAGATCAGGGACAGAGCTGTTAAGGCTAAGAGCATCTCTCATAGGAGCATTCAAATCAGGGTCTCTACTTCTGATTTGAGAGCTCCTCTACTTCTGAGGGTCTTGTTTTCTACGTTACACTCCAGCATTAGCTCTCCAAATAGAGCCATCAAATTCATTCTAATAGGAAATGACATTGTGGGACCTGGTTGTCATCCTCTTTCTTAGCTTATTCTCGGTTGATGAACATGACCATCTCTCGACAACTGGGTGCAGAAGATAGGGAGGAGAGGAGAACGAACCGCTGGGGAGGAGAAGAGGAGGGGAGTTGGAGCTACGGGTGGTGCTGCTGCCGAGGGTTGCAGATGCCGGCTGGCGGGGTGCTGCTGCTAGGCAGGATCTAGTCCAGGGAGGGACAGGACGCGCCGGGGGAGGTGCAGCCGAAGGGATCCACGTCACGAGAGAGGGGGCACCGCCAAGGGTCCTACCGTGGGGGAGATCTGAGCCAGGGACGGAAAGGGGCGTCGCTGGGATGCTGCTGTTAGGGGGAACGCCACCATGGAGCAAAATGGAGAGTTGCGGGAGGAGGGAGTGGCTGCGCCAAAAAAAAACACCGCGGGCCGGAGTGGGCGGCCGCAGACGACCAGGAGAAAGGTGCGCGCGCAAAATAGGAGCGCGCACAACTAAAACTACCGAAACAGAATTTTAAAGGCTCTGAGTAGGGCTCATGGGAACGAGACGCGGGAGGGGATATGAGGACCCCTTAAATTTGGGGTTCCTAGTAGGGTTTTGTTTGAGTTGATTTTTTTAGCTTTGGCCTTCGTATTTAATTTTGAGGGTTCAAAGAGAGACCTTGCAGAGTGCTGGAGATGCTCTAAGGTATCGCTCCTTTTCCAGTCCAATGCAATTTTCTAGTAATAAACAGTAAATTTGGTATTGTTCGTTGTTGTTTAATGCTGATCAGTTAGATGAACTTGGTCAAGCTCTGCCTCTCAAAAGGAGATTTGTGTGTGTTTGCTTAGTTTTCGTGAATGATGTGCACCTAAGCACGTATCTTGATTAATTGGAGAATGTGTTTTTCTTAGCTATTACCTCGTTGTTTTCGTGGCTTGCTGTGATGATCAGTTGAAGCACCGGCCGTGGAAAAATGCGCTTCTGTCAGACATATCGATGAGCACCTCGGCCGCGCCTGCCTTCTTCCCGCCGCACTACTTCGAGACGAAGGACGAGAATGGCAGGAGGAAGGCCTTCAACCTGGTGGATGGTGGGGTCGCTGCGAACAACCCCGTAAGCTAGCGCCACGCAGCATGCATCCACCCCATATAGGCCATAGTTCACACAGCCTCACATTCACCTATGCGTGCAGACTCTGTGCGCGATGAACCAGGTGTCTCAGGACATCATCCTCGGCGACGACTTCTTCCCGGTGATGCCGGCGGACTACGGAAAGTTCATGGTGATCTCCCTCGGTTGTGGGTCGAATCGGAACCGCAGGTACTGCGCCAAGGCCGCCGCCAAGTGGGGCATCTTCAGCTGGCTCTTCAAGCTAGGACGGCAACGCTCCCATCATCAACATGTTCAACTCCGCCAGCGCCGACATGATCGATATCAACCTCTGCGTCCTCTTCAGGGCACTGCGCTCCGGCCAGAACTACCTGCGTATTCAGGCATGCATGCACACGCAGGACATGAACGGCATCTCCACAAATACAACTTCTAGTTTTTTTTTCTATTCTTATTAATGTTAGGATCGTAGGATTGGTACCTCTGTGTGTAAATTGTAGATTCATAGTTAGGCTCCTCGACCTTGTGGAGCTTCACCGTAGTGGCAGCATGGACGCCGATGCCGCCCTGGATGCAGCCTCGCGGACGCCAGTGCCGAGGCAGCTCCGACTCGATGGCGGGGTACAGTGGTGGCGGCGGAGACCCAATCCAGTGGCGCCGGCGGTGTCCCTGCATAGGCGACGGCGGTGGTGGTGGGGCTCATCCTGTCGCTGGCAGCACGCTTTAGGATCGGATTAGGGTTAGCTCTATAGGTGGGTGGCGGCTCCGTTGAACCTCGTTCTCCGAGCCCTCACCCCCACCTTCCTTTTATGTGTGCTGTGCGACAGGGGCCCACCAACCGGATTAGGGTTGGGCTCTCCCGATCAGGGAGCAGAGATAAGGGCCCAATAGGCCGTTGGGCCTATTGGTGAGATCAACTAATATTCTCCCCCTTGATCTCATTCCATCTTTCACTTTCATATCATTTACTTTTGTTCATTTCATTACATATTAGCTCATAGAGCATGTCTCATCGTCACGGTCCATTGCCGATAGACTTAACAGCTACAACTCACTACTCTGTTCTGAAATAGATACTTATCTTTGGGCCTTCTTTTGTCCAGGAATATTTTAGGCTTTTCTTTAAACCCAAGCTAGCTACATGTTCTCTGAACACCATGCCCTCTGAACATATTGGGTGGTAAGCCTTTTGTAAGCGGATCCACGAGCATCCTTTCTGTTCTTATATGCTCAAGACTTATGACTTGATCCCGGACTTTATCTTTCACAACATAATACTCTATGTCAATGTGTTTGGCAGCACCACTTGACTTATGTTGTGAGCATCTTGTACTGTCAGATTATAATCGCAGTATTACTTTAGTGGTCTATAGATATCGTCAACTACCTTCAAACCGGGTATGAACTTCGTTAGTTAGTTCACCTGCCCGTTGCCTCATAACACGCTACAAACTGTCATACATTGTGGACGATGTAGTGACAGTTTGCTTTGAGCTTTTCCATGAAATAGCTCCCCTTTGCGAGATGATAGAAAATCCACGTCTGGATATGCATTCACTCTCGCATAATCAGAATCTGAATATCCCACCATGTGGAGTGAATTAGATCTTCTATATGTCATCATGAGGCCTTTCGTTCCTTGCAAATAATGCAAGACTTTCTTTACTAATTTCAGTGTTCTATTCCAGAATTGCTCTGGAATCTGCCAAGTAAAACCCGGTAACAAATGCCAAGTCAGGGCGTGTATATACTTGAGCATGTTGCAAGCTTCCGACAGCTGAAGCATATGGAACCACTTTCACTTTATCGATTGAGCTCATATTGGTTCCTGGGCCATTGAAAATCCCCATATCTATCGCCCTTGACTATAGGAGCAGGTGAGGGACTACATTTGTGCATACTGAATTTCTTTAAGATCTTTTTCATGTATGCCTTTTGTGACAGTCCTTATACCCTTTTTCTTTTATCTTGGTGAATCTCGATCCCTAGAACGAACGAGGCTTCGCCAAGATCTTTCATATCAAATTTTCTTTGTCTCTAGTAGTAGACTGACATCACTACTAGCAAGTAAGATATCATCTACATACAGGACAAGGAAGAGAAATTTCCCATTCTTAAACTTTGTATTGACACAATTGTCATCTACATTCTCTTTACTTTGTATAGACACAATTGTCCTCTACATTCTCTTTAAAACCCAAAATTCTTTATTGTCTGATCAAACTTCAAGTACCACTGTCTTGAAGCTTGTTTTAATCCATAAATGGATTTCTTTAGACGGTATTACATTCGTTCTTTTCCTTCCATGACAAAACCTTTCGGTTGTGCCATGTAAAACATTTTCCTCCAAGTCTCTGTTGAGAAATGCCGTCTTTACATCCATATGATGTAATTCTTAATCGTAATGTGCCACTAATACCATTATGATTCTGAAGAAAACTTTACATGAGACTGGAGAAAAGGTCTCATTGTAATCAATCCCTTCTCTTTGCATAAAGCCTTTTGTCACAAGTCACACTTTATATGTCTCTATATTCCCTTGAGAGTCATGTTTAGTCTTGTAGACCCATTTATAGCCTACTATTTTGACTCTTTTAGGAATTATTTCCAAATCCCAAACTTTATTGACATTCATCGATTTCATTTCATCTTCTATGACCTCAAGCCACTTTGATGAATGATTACTTTTCATGGCTTATTCAAATGAGGTGGGATCATCCTCCATTTGAAATTTCTTAGTGTTGTACACTTCATAATCAGCAGGAATGGATGATTTACTAACTCTTTTAGACTTTTTAGGGGCCTTCACATTTGGCACATCTTCTATTTGAGGCTGTTGTTGTTCCCCCTCATGTGTGGCATTAGGTTCTATAGAATCCTGAAGAACAGGTTCCACATTTTCATTCATTGTTGCCACAGGTGAAATAACAACAGGTGCTGACACCATAGTATTTTACACTGTCGGTGCAGCGACAGCATGTAGTGAGAAAATTGGCTCATGAATCATTGGAGTGGGCGCATACACCCGCTTCACTTCAAGGTAAATTTCTTGAGCTACCATGCTCCCCCTCATTCTTTTCATCCTATAGGAAAACAGCGTGTCTCGTTTCCACAAACTTTGTATGTCTCTTTGGACAGTAGAAACGAAAACCTTTTTGACTTTTCTAGATAACCAAACAAATGGCAACTTACTATTTTGGGTTAAATACTTTAGCCTCAGCAGGGCTCCCCCACACACACGCAAGTGGTTTAGTGAGGGTACTCTTTCTGTCCACAACTCATACGGTGTTTTAGGCACCGAATTTCTTGATACTCTATTGAGAATATGAGTGGCAGTTTTAACGCCTCCATTCACAGGCTCAACTGTAAGGTGGAGTAACTTATCATACAGCCCACCATATCCATCAGGGTGCGATTGATTCTTTTAGCTACTCTATTCTGCTGAGGTTCGCCCGGTGTAGAATACTGGACTACTATGCCATTCTTTTAGGGTATGCCGACCGTAGTACTCCCCCACGGTCAGACTTGACTATCTTAATCTTTAATATCTTAAATTTATCCAATACATCTTTTCTTTCTTTGATTGGATAAATATAACCATAATGGGAGTACTCATATGTGAATGTTATGAACGAATCATTACCATCCACACTCTTTACAGGAAACTAATCATAGATGTCTGTGTGAATAATCTATAAGATTCATGCGCTTCGTTTGTCATCTTTCTTAATCTTCTTTATATACTTTTCTTTTATGCATTCTCTGCATTGAACTTAATCTGAGAGCTCTAATGGAGGAAGAATATCATTCTTAACTTGTCTTTCTATTCTCCCCCTCGAAATATGGCCTAAACGACAGTGCCATAATTACGACAACGCATCGTGAGCTCTCTTATGCCACCTTTTCTAGATTAACACTCTGTGACTAGCTGCTTTATCAGCTAAGTGGCATGTCTTTGAAGAGCCAGTGAACTAACTCTTTATTCTATCGAGGTACTCAGTGATCGTGTCACATTCTGGAATTGAGCCCACAATTGTAGGTTCAATCATGTTCTTTATCATAGCCAAACTTTTTCGTGTTGGTAGTGATTCATTTCCTATGCTCAAGAAGTCATAGGATATCTTTTGAGATTCAAAATCCCTTTCTTTAGTTGCCAAAGTGGCATCATTCTCTTTTGTCTCCCTCACCGGTGCCACAAACTCAGTGGAACACGGTGAGGTGACTAACCAGTCCACCTTAGACAAGATGAAAACCAGGTCAAAACTTTTCTTAACATAAAAATAACACCATTTGCATGTCTTGATTCCAACGTTGGTCAAAAACAAACATACAATTATTCTTATACACTAATTCTACATCACCGTTGGGCAGAAATAGAATTAATGCATAAATCTTTAACTTTATCAACTTTTCTTATACACTAATTCCATATCACCGTTGGGCAGAAGTAGAAATAATGCATAAATCATTAACATTATCAACTTTTCTTATACACTAATTCTACATCACCGTTGGGCAGAAGTAGAATTAATGCATAAATCATTAGCATTACGATATTGTTATTAACAACGTTGGTCAGAAAATAACAACATCATAATCATGTCAAAACTCTTTTTCTCCAATTAAATACCACATTGGTTCAAAATAATTGGAGAATCAACATTTTCTTTAGCAGCGGAAAAAATATCTTTTTCTCCAATTAAATACCACATTGGTTCAAAATAACTGGAGTATAAACAACTTTTCTTTGGCTGTGGAAAAACTCTCTTTTTCTTGAATTTTACCCACAGGGAAAATTGCTTTTTCTATTTTCTTTAATCCATTAATCAATTTCAGGAAATAAACATTTCTTTGGAAAAACCTTCCTTTTCTCCGATTAAATATCATGTCGGTTCAAAAACCTTTGGAGAATATACTTTTTCTTTAACGAGTGGAAAAATATTCTCAATTTCTTGAATTTTTCCACACAGGAAAAATTACTTTTTTATTTCTCTTTTTGAGCTATTTTTCATTTTCCAGAAATAAATATTTGCTGGAAATAGAAAAAAGGAAAAACTCATTCTTTTATGTACTGCTCTTTCGGCCCAAAACGGTAAGGCGGCCCACGACCCACGCCCGCGTGGGCGCTTCCCACGCTCTCCCCCGCGCCCAGGCCGCAACCTGGGCCTGGGCCCGGAATTCGGCCTAGCGCGCGCACCCGCCTGGGCTGAAAGCCGGCCCGGTGAATCTGTGTCGTCCGTCTGCATCCTACGGCCGAGCGGCGAGATCGGGCGGTATAACAGCCGTCGCCGCGGTTGTGAGTCCCGGAACCCTAGCTCATTTTGTCGTTTGCTTCCTCTCTCTTCTTCGCCGCTCTCTCCTCTCTCTACCTCACACAGCAGCGAGGCGAGCGCAACCGAGCGAGCAGCGAGCGAGCGGGCATCCATGGCGCCATGG